CTGTGTTCTGCTTTGTATGTATTTTATTTTATTTGTTTCATATTTCTTATTTCATCCATGTTTTCAATTATTAGACTAAATTTTGCCAATAAAATAGTTTTAAAATGTATTTTTTTACAGCTTTTAGTTTTTACTGTTAATTTACAAAATGGTCACCCAACGCTTAACAATAGCCTCTACCTCAAGAGGTGGAGGAGCCAAATGGCTGGCTCACTGCTACCAACTAGCAGTCAGAGGCTGAACTACAACATAAAAATGAACGGCTGGCAGGAAAGTTGACATTTCAAACCTTAATAAAAAATTGATACAGGGCTTTAGAATATTGATACAGTATCAGGAAATGAAATATCGCGATATTTCAGTGTATCTATATTTTCTTACACCCCTAATGAAGACTTTCCTTTTTGATAAATGCTATAGTTAGACTTAGGTTTCCTGAATTATTCCTTAGTTATTAAAGTTAATTAGTTCTGCTGCTAAAGACTTGGACTGCTGGAGAACAAACTGACTGGGAGACTGTGACGAACCAAAGAATCGGCACAGTCTGCTGGCTTCTTTAGATTTATTGTTTTTTTGTATACGGTGCCCTGAGACAACAGTTGTTGTGATTTGGCGCTATATAAATGAACTGAACTGAATATGTTCATATCTTAATGAAAATTTATTGTCGATATTACAAATGAGAAAATTATTACATTCATTCTAAAAATGTCTTTGTGATATGAAATTCCAGAACAAATGACTAAATATCATAACCTTAATTATGTAAGTAAGTAGTAAGTCATTTTATTATAATTTGTGTCATGCACCACAGCCCACACAGGCTTACAAGGCACATTAAACATTTGAGTTCTTGTGTTTTCTTACGCATACGGTCCCACTTTGACTCTTTTTAATCAGATTTTACCAAAACTGTTAAGAATGGGTTTTTGAACTCTGAATGAGAACCGAACACATACGGCAATTTAACAAGTTTATTATTAAAAGGTGCTGTTGACGCTGGGAGGCAGGAACCCGGGCACGGCTGGTCTGGACACAAAGACGCTGGGTCAAGTTGGTTCAACAATAATATATTATTGATGAAAATAATATAAACAACCAACCTTCCGATGTGGGACTGGGTNAAAGAAAGATAAAGATTTGCCAGCCGGCGCCAGCCTAAGGTTAAAATTCTGTGGTTGTTCAACAACATGATATGATAACCTCTTTTCAGCTTTCTTTTGATAGACTAAGAGAAATCACTGCAAAGCATTTGATGATTAATTAACATTTCTGTCTCATAATTAGTTCTGAACCTTCTGTTAGTCCAGATAAATGAAAGATTTTCTCAGGAAAAATCCAACTATATTACTGTGTCACAGTAAAATAAAAACAGTGATTTACATAAAAACACAATGAAAACATTGTAATCAGATTCTCTGTGATTTTTTATACCATTATAAATCTTTAAGGCACGATAAAAGAAAAGAAGTCGTTCCACTTTTCCTGTGACAGTCATTATCATGATTTAACAAACGCATAAACATTCTTAGTTAAACAAAAAATGAATCATGAACAGAAGAGATTGTTCTGTCCATTATCTGATTAAGAGAACTGAGGGGTTCTCTTCCACGGTTAGAATGACCCGTCATGGCCTAAATAGAGTTCAGTTTGTGACAGGGTTCCTGTCCTCTCGTCAGGCCTGTCCGAGGCAGTAAATCTTGTTTCTTCACTCGAGGTGACCCCTACAACTATAACTTGAATGTTTCAGTAAACAGTTAAAAAGATATTTGTGTCAGTGTCCAAATATATATGGACCTACGTAAACTAAAAAATAATACAGAAATTACAATACTCCCGGCAGATAAAGGAGGAACCACGGTGATACTGGATACCGATCTTTATGAAAAACAAATGAGAGACATGCTACAGGACAAAAACACCCACGAAGTATTACAAAAAGATCCAACAGAAACAAACAAAAAAAAAAACCTCAAAACAATACTAAGACCTCTTCTCAACGAAAACAAAATAAGTAAACAGATCTACAACCACCTCATTCCTACTGCAAACGTTATCCCCCGGACACACGGCACACCCAAGATAAATAAACCCGGAGCACCATTGCGACCCATTGTGGACAGTATCGGATTTGTCACAACCTCTCAAAATATCTTGCAAGCATTTTGAAACCCCTACTTGGCAACTCAGACCAACACTGTGAAAATGCTAAACAACTAGCAGAAGAACTAAGCAACATAAAAGTGGTATCTTTATTCACTCTAAGCCCAGTTGAAGCTATATTACTTATTGTAAACGGACTGCTGACAGGAGACAAATCACTCAGGAAACGCAATAAACTTACAGCACAAGACATATCCTAACTTCTTCAGTTTGTTGCAACATCATCTTTATTCCAATTCCGCAACACCATTTACAGAAAGAAGGAAGGTTTTGCCATGGGGGACCCTTTGTCAGCCATCATGTGTGGGTTTATCATGGAGGACCTGGAGAAAAAAGTTATTACATCGGCCCCGGAACACTGTCGACCAACATTATGGAAAAGATGTTGACGACATACTGGAGAAAGTAAAAATGGGACACACACAGTTGATCACAGAACATCTAAACTCTAAGGATGGGATAGGAAACATTAAATTCACACATGAAGAAAAAAACAATTCCATAGCCTTTCTGGACCTAAATCTCACACGATGCAGACGGTGACATTAAAATCAACATTCATAGGAAACCAACCCATACGGATCAATATTTGCTGTGGACATCAGAACACCCCACAGCACACAAAATGTCGGTGGTCAGAACCTTTTACGAACGCGCACAGATAATAATGGAGGAAAGAAAAAAATTGTATAGGTCTTCTGGATGGGTTCCTCTCTAATGAAACGTTTCGTCTCTTCTCCAAGAGACTTCTTCAGTCTGAGAGTTTCAGGCAAAATTCAGGCTTTTAAGCACTGCCTCCATGTGACTGATACTCACATCACATGGCTATCGTTGGCACCTAATTAACACCTATTGTTAACAGGGGGTGGAGTGATACTGGCAATAGCAGCACTGGAGGAGGGGGACAACTGAAAACGGAGGCCTCCACCTCTGTTTAAAGATGGACGGTCTTTCTTCACAAAAATGGCTTCTTTTACTCCTCTCTCAAACCAACGTTCCTCTCTATCAAGAATGAGAACATCCTTATCTCTGAAAGAGTGACCAATGGCCTGTAAATGAGTGAAAACTGCAGAGTTCTGGCCATTAGATGTAGCTCGTCTGTGTTGGGACATTCTTTTGAACATTGGTTGCTTTGTTTCCCCGATGTATAACTGGTCGCAGTCCTCCTGGCACTTAACAGCATATATAACATTGCTCTGTTTGTGCCAGGGCACCGGATCTTTGGGGTGAACCAGCCTTTGCCGTAATGTGTTTTGGGGTTTGAAAGCCACTGGGACATCATGTTTAGAAAATAAACATCTCAGTTTCTCCGAAACACCCGCAACATACGGAATAACCACTGGTTTGGGTCTGGGGTCTTCATTTTCACCTGAAGATATAATGGAGGAAAAACACATCAAAAAGCATGTCAATACCCAACATGTGCTATAAAAAAGGGGGAAAAAACAGGTGGAACAGAGAAGAATCAAACCAAAGAAAAATACAAATCAGAAAGAACAGAAAATCAAGGGATGGTCATGCTACCATACTGTATATCAGAGGCATTACGGAACGTATCCAAAGGACTTTCAAGAAACACCGCATTAGTTCAGCTATCAAACCACACAGAAAACTTAGACAAATGCTGGTACATCCTAAAGATCAAATAGATCAAAGATAAAAAAATATAATGTTATATACAAAATACCATGCCATAGCTGCAAAAAAACAAATAGTGGAGACGGGACGGTCCTTGGTTACAAGGAAGAAAGAGCATCAAAAAGAATGTGAGAAAGAAACAGAAGACTAACCCGAACCAAAAAAGAACAAGCTTTGCAAGAAAATTATGTATCAGCCATCACGGACCACTGCAAAAGGGAAAATCATATCATGGATTGGGAAGGAGCCAGAATTATCCGCAGAAAGGACAACAAACACCAGCGTTGGATCATGGAGGCGATGGAGATTAGAAAGCGAGCCCACACAGATATAAACCAGGATGAGGGGGGCCTACAAACTCTCATATACCTGGAATGACATCCTCCAGCAGTGAAGCCAGCAGGAGGCAGTGTCGGCTTGTCAATATATATTGATGAGCCGATACCGCCTCCAAACAACATCAGCTGTGACACTTCTGAAGACGGAAGCACACGTCGAAACATGTCAGGTAAAGACATAAAATAAGAAAGTCTAGTAACTAAGAAAAATTTTAAGATTTATCATACAGACACAATGAACTTCATTGGAATATGGACCCGACTATGTATACATACACACTATTATTAGTTGAGGTCATGATTCTTCGAGCTAAAAAGTAATTGACTGACTTCAAGTCTAGGTTAGATCATTGGAACTAACATGTACATGTACATTCTAGCTGTGTTTCATAATACAGATGCAGATTTACTTTATTTTATTAAAAAACATATACAACAGGCACTGACACTGGCCAACTTTATATTTTAATAAAAAACTTTACAAAGAATATGTTACTTACAGGACCTGAACACCAATTAACATTTTGATAGTTAATAATACAGTAACATAATACTGTCCAAGACTAAACATGAATATAATACCTATATAATCATATATTTATTTACACTCAAATTCTATATACAACTAACAAAATACTGTGACACTGACCCCGTCAAGTTACACTGGATTCAAAACCCAAAGAGATTTTTTTCCTGAACAGAACTAAAATTAAACAAAGAAAAATAGGAAATAAAATCTAACCCGAAACAAACTTTAAAACTGCAAACAGAGAAAGTATTAAATTCTTCCATCAGTCTTTGGTGGGGATTTTATGCACTTTGGTGAAATGTTCAACTTAAAACATGACTGGTGGTGCAACAACTGATTAGATCCAACAGAAACGGTTATTGTTTCGGTCTTGATTTCATCTGCGGTTTTTCCTGTACTTAGTTGAAGTTGAACGTTTGACCGTTTGAAAAGTTTACTGGCAACAGCAGGAAAACAAAAACGCCTGGTTCACAGTGTCCAGATCTCATTGGCCCATAAATGATTGTGCTGGAGCCAGCGGCGAGCAGAAGACACATCCAGGGTAAACACCTGCTCCTGTGAGGAGTTGACTGTGGTGTAATGGACAGTGAGTTTGGGCCGAGGGATCCTGGCTGCAGAAAGAACACGACTACCTGCTGAGATGTATTCGCTCTCACAGCTCTGAGTCCTGCAGGAGGAAGAGGAGAAACCATCTTGTCCATAGAGAATACACAACACTCTGGGCTTCTAACACACAGAGACACACTTTACCTTTTGAGAGTGATGCTGAGAGAAGTGGTGCTAGTTTCTGGGAGAGGGAGAATGACCGACGCGTTGACAGTGATGAACTTCTCAAAGGCGAGGACCAGCTCCACCTCCCCAAGCCGACAGGGTACAGTCAGCGACATGAAACCAGGAGGTGCAGAGATTTCAGGGTAGTAGCCCAAGTTCTGAGATACTGGGAGTTACACACAACAGAGTAACTATCCAGTTGATTTCCACTCTCAAAATAATTCAACATAACTCTTTATAGCTATTTTTAATAGGGTTGGGCAAAATCGTATCATGTGCAGTTAATCATCAGAAAAATGATCACATAAAAACATGGCACTTTGCAACTACTGTAATTAGTCACATGTAATTCATTGAGTGCAGAACTGATACTAATGTGGAGCAAAGGCTAATGTGCTATGTGGAGCTAACACTATCGCTAATGCAAAGCTAACAATGCTAATGCAGAACTAGCACTGATACTAATGCTGAGCTAACACTAATAGCCTATATGCCACGGCTATTAGAGACGCGTTTCTGTTAAAATTCAGGCCACGAGCATCACTTCCAGGTCCTGCCAACTGCGCGTTGATTTTAGCATTAGCTCCTAAAACTAGTTCATGAAAAAGTCACAAAAGTTAAAGCATCTGCAAGTTACTGGTATAAAACATGAGTTCTGTTGTGTGCCGTTGTGTCCACTAACCAGCAGGTACGACAGAGTAGTTCGTTTTTCTCCATTTTCCTCTTGATGAGGAGTAAAGGCGACAGCAATGGATCATTAAAATACAGGAAAAGCTTAGCTATAAAAGCTATAAAATGTTGGCTTTTCAAACCCGAGGATATTCAAGAGCCAGCATCAGAAATGAGAAGACTGAGATGTACAATTACCCCCTTCACTGCCAAGACCCGAGAGAGCAAAGACCACCTCCAGAGGACAGCGAGGAGGAAGCAAACACAACAGCCAGTATATTTGAAGAAATTTTGTAACTGATTAATTGAATATTAGATTCAGTTTTGTATTTTATACTTCCTGATCATTGCAGCTTTAAGGCCATAACAGAATAAGAGTTGGTGTGTGTGTGTGTGTGTGTGTGTGTGTGTGTGTGTGTGTGTGTGTGGTGTGTGTTTGTTACCTTGTGTTCTTTCTCTCAGCCTAAACAAAACTGAGTGACGTTCTGACGTCTGACGTTAAAGGTAACACCTCTGGGGTGTAACCAGGAAGAGATGAACATTATAAGCTCTAGTCATTATTATAGTAGAAAGAAGTTGTCAGTGTTTTTGCAGAGTGTCTGCTCAGAGCAGAGCTCCCGTGTTTGTTTTGATTCAGCCCAAGGTAGTACACTGAATGTACCTGATTGGAGTCAGAAGATTGAAAATAAAATTTTGAAGAAGAAACCCAGCTGAATCCCGTTTATTTGGACATACCATTTTGAACAACGCATATTTTTCCAACATATAGACAAGACGTTCAGATCACGATTATGCTGCTTCTCCAGACTCTGCAGTTGTGGATTTAGTGCTGGAGGTAAATGTTATTATCTGGGAGAAAATCCTCCAGATACGGGAACAGTTTGAGAGGCTGACACTACCTGCGTTTCCATTACAAATGTGCGCAAAACTTTGTCGATATTCTGTTAATGGCAAAAATAAAAAATAAAAAATACAGTTTCGCAACTGCAGTGTTTCCATTAAGTAAGAAATGCTATTAAAGTCATGCGTGAATACGTTTGTTCTCGCGATAAGTCATTACAAACATGGAAGCGATGGATATAAACACAGCATGTTGCTACCATGACACTAGCACTCATCGGAGGAGACGTCGGCGTCTTTTATCGAGGCTTTCCAGCGACAAGTCCCTACTTGGGAGCGGCTACGTATGCTGTGTTTTTGGGAAATTGTAGTTGGCGAGTTTACTATTTTATACTACTTCTGTGATATTACTACTACTTCTACTTCCTGTTATCTTCTTTGTCATCGTCTTTTTCTCCAGTAGAACCAGCCGGTTGTTGGTCACGTGATTCCCGTGATGCGAAAAAAATGTTTCCATTGCAGTTTTTCGAAAAACACCAATTTCGATACAGCCGAAATACCACCTCATCCTAGCGCAAAAACATTGTCGAAAAACGTAATTGTTTTCTAAATTGACGTGTTTCCATTGAGCAAATTTATTTTGGAAATTCTAATTTGCGCATTTTCATGACCAATGGAAACACAGCTAGTGAGGCAGCTGTTTTGTCATTCACTGCTTTGCTGCTTCTGACAAAAACATTAGATCCTTCACAAGGTAGGTGTGTCTAGTGTGTTTAATCCCCTTTAGAGTAATTTTTTCCACTTGGCTGGACTTTTGTCAACTTGTACGTCTCCTGTGGTAATATTGGTACATGTAATATGCAAATCCTGTACTGTGGACAGCAGCCACCAAGTGAAAAAAGCCTACGCTAACACCTGCCTTGCCTGCGAACCTGAAGCGCTGTTTGTGGCCAAAAAAGTGCTAGAACGGAAATCAGTGGCATTTAGGCTATTCTAGTGTGGAGCAAACACTAATGCTAATGTAGAGCTAACAATGCTAATGAAGAACAAACACTACTGTTAATGTAGAGCTAGTACTAATGCAAATACAGAGTCATCAATAATGCTAATATGGAACTAACGCTAATGTGCAACTAAATCATTAACATGAGGCTAATGCTAGCACTATGAACTTGTTTAATCACCTGAAACACCATCATAAACCAGTGTTTGAGGAACCCAGAAAATGCAGACTGAGGCAACAACATAGGCTACAGCAAACTAACGTATGGTGAAAACAAATCTATTAAATCGACAGATAAATCACTGGATAAATGCCATATTTAATCCTAATAAATTTTTTTGGCCAGTATCGCACAGCCCAAATTTTAGTTTCAGCTCAATCTGTTATTTTACACGTCCCTTCAGGACAGACTTAGCAGATCAAAAGAGCGGTGACACTTACGTTTGAAGAGCCTCCGCGCCAGCAGCCAGAAGTTCTGTTTGCCCAGTTTATGTATGAGCGTCTGCAGCACCGAGTGGTCGACAGGCAGTTTTTTACACAGCATGAAGTTCACTGTGTCTGCAGCCACAGGAAGTATCTGTTTCTCCATACATACTTGTAAATGAGAGTTAAACTGAGGACTGTACCTGGAGATGTCGATCAAATCTGAGGAGGGAAATTAAAGAAAAATTATGGTACAAAGCTTCAGACACGGGCACAAACAACTGTTTTCTAAAGGAGCTGTATATTTTGTGGTCAAAATGGCAGCCCAGTGAGATACTCTTATGGTCAGGTGTTAAAAAACTTTGACGATTTCATGGTGTTAAATAAAGAATGGGTAAAAATAAAAAAACCTTTTCATCCCCAACAACTCACCGTTAGGCTCTTTAACTCCAGGAAGATGACAGAGCACCTCCAGTGTGTCCCTGTGAGACGTTTTCTCAGCCAGGCATGTAAGAAGACGAGTCCTGCTCTCCAGATCTGCAGGCTCACATGGCCACGAGCTGGAACTCAGGAACCAGTCGTTTTCTGAAACACACAGAACGTAGCGTTAACACAAGCCTCCAAAGTATTTACAAAACTATGAAGAGAAAAATCAGTAAAAGACTACAGTAATTTGGTGTTCAGTAAAAAACTACCCAATTCTAAAAGTACCATTAGGAAACAATTTTGTACTACTAATACTAGCAGAAGCAAGTGTAAAAAGTATAAATATTAAAAAATAATTAAAAAAAGACATTTGTGACGGTTGTATTCATATTGAAAGGAAATTCAAAGAGTGGTTTTGTTTAAAATCACGCCTGCTTCAGGTGTTACTTTAACATTTATGGAGGTCAGTCAAGGTGACACTAAGGATCCTTTACCTCGTAATGTGTTCAGAGCCCCCTCCACACTGCTGCTCAGGAGGAACAGCTCTGTGGCCACAGTGACCAGGTAGCAGCGTGACGCTCTGTCCTCATTCCCAAACAAACCCTTCAGAGTTCCGTAGTTGACTTTTGAAGAGGACATCACCTCCACCACCCTGCGACCCTGCATGTGTAGAGCGACAACAGTTTTTAACCATTAAACAGATGCAAGCTGGAGGAAAACAGAGAAAAAAACTCCAATTACATTTGTCCACTGGTGAGTTTTGTGGTATCGCAACATCAGAGAGACTCCAATTCTGCCTACAAACGCCTTCAACAGGCTGTCTTCACCTTCGTTCTGACAGGCTGAAAATAAGCAAAGAATTGTTTAGTTTAAGAAAAATACGTCATGTTTCAAAAACAATTTCTCCCCAGACTTTTACCTATTTCAGCAAAGACGGCAAAAGGCAGAGAGCCCTTGACTTTGCTCTCAGACAGGAGCCCGATGGCAACACAACCACTGAGGCGCTCCACCTGGTTAGGGTGTAGGGTGAAGTGACACAAGGTCCTAAAGACCTCTCCCATCCGCTTCCAGTCCTCTTGCTTGGTACAGAGCTAGCACACAAGTTAAGAATAAAAATAAATACAGAACTCCCTCATTCATGAGCTATTCTGCAAAAAAATTAAAATAAAAGCCAACTAACCCCTATTTCAACAAGAGCGTGAGTTAAATTCAGGTACTTTGGTATTTGTGTGCTGGTAGGAATAAAGAAAATGGCAATCAGCTGATTATAATATGATGGAAACACTGAGAGAATAAATGAAAGTTACCTGTGGCTGCCCGACACGGAAACAGATGAGTTTGGATGAACGTTGTGCTGAAACAGGGGAAAGTTTTTAACACCCTCCAGGCAATCCACATTCAGCTCCAAACCAGCTTTGGCCATCTGTCAAACACACACAATAATAAAATCACACACATTCAGAAAAACGTAGATCCTGCTACCCGACAGGGAACTCGGCGTGAGGGTACCTGTACTGAATTCCCACTAGAGGGCAGCAGTGGACAGTTAATTAAGTCAGGCAGTGGTTAGACCTACTAAATTTGTTAAGAGGGTCCTTAGTTCTTTTCTGCATCATGCAACACCACATGTTTATTTCTTTGGTGAGCAGATGGACTCTGTATGTGTGACTGAAGACATGTAAGTGCAATAACCTGTAATGTGAAATGTGAAACATTGCATATTCGACCTTTGTAATGGTGAAGCTAAGTTCTGTATATTTAATGTATACTGTTTGATGTTAAATTGCAGATACCATACAATTGTCCATGCAGCTGTTCATGATGCTGATGTAACCTAAGATGGACACAATTTGAACTCAGTAAAGTTTCAGAAGACTAAATCTCTGCTTTCTTATTTAACTCTTTGACCGGAGCCCCCCTGATGATGAAGAACTGGCTTTCAATCTTATAGAACTCAACAAATGGTCCTTCGAGCCGGATTCAGCTCACCACAGTGGCAAATATGGACGAGAAGAGAACAGCAACAATATCTGAGAGCACAAGGCAAAGGCATCTCCCAGCACATCTGATGGACTACCATGTGACCTTACCCCCTACTTTGAAACCATCTACCTCTGCTGTAGAACTACCAGTTTTCAGTAACAAATCCAAGAGTGCCAACACAAAACAGCTGCAGTCCTTAGGTATGTACGTCAAATCTACTACCAATAGTGACCAGCCACAGGCAGCGTTCGGGCCCTCAACCATGTTATCACAGCTACATTCACCTAACTTAACAGGTAGTAAGGATCAGTTAAATCAAACTGATGAGCTTGCCTTTAAACTTAAAGAAACTTTAACCCAGACATCCATTTCAGAAGTATATGCTTAAAGTGGTCCTTGTGCATCAGATGAAGAAGTTGATTCAGAATGCAGCTCAATTGTCAGTGGATCAATAACATCTTTAAAATCAGGTTATAATCTACTACCTGCTTATCCAGCTTTCTCACAACAAGCAGAAGGCATGAAAGTACATGCGTCACAGCAAAAAGCCACATATGTTAGTGGCCAGATAGCAACTTCCCTGCCGACCTTGACACAGGCTTTACCTCCAACTATTTCAACCACGATGATAACAGCTCCGTCTTCTGCACAACAAACTGTTTCACCACCCATTATTGCTAATGTGATGCAACCAAACCCAGTTTCAACACATGGAGGTATTTCTTATCAATCATCCCAAGTACCAGTATTGGGACAGCCTCAGACAACATTCTGGTCTCCCTCGTCAGTTCCTATGTATTCGGGACAGCAGCAAAACATTCTGCCAGTGCATCACCAGATACCTATGTACCCCTCATTGAGTACATCAGTACCAACTGTTCCAGCTTCAGTGGATCCTTCAGTGTATCAGCAAGCTAATCTACCCTCATTGCCAATTCAACCTAATATTATACCACAAACTCATTTAGGGCCCTCAAACTTAAATCAGCCCATGTACCGGATGAACCTACAACCTCATGGAGTTGTATCACAGCCAGGACATCAAGTTACTAATGTGGCATCTGGACAACCTAATTACTACCAAGCTTGTAGTACTGTTAACCATTTGGTTTACCAACCAATCCAGACATTTCAATCAGCTCAGGGTTTACAAAACTCCTATGTGATTCAGACAATGCCAGCATCAACCTCATGGCCAAATCATCCTCCTGCAGCAGGATACCATGTTACCCAACCTAATCTCGGGTTAACATCACCGGTGACAATTGGACAACCTCCCTTTCCACTTCCATCACAACCTGTCCCAGTACCTAAACTCCCTAAATTGGAACATGACAGTGAGAGAGAGTTTGCAGATCTGAAGATGGCTCTTGATCACCTACTACAACCACATCCTGAACTTTCAGAGCACTATAAATATCGTGTGCTCATGGAGCAGCTGGGTTTAGATGAAGCACGACTCATTGCACAGGCATGTAGGCATTATCCACAACCATACACCATGGCGATGCAAGCTTTGCAACGGCAATATGGTCAGCCCCATCAGCTTGCACAGAGCAAAATTGCCACCATCTTAAATGCTCCTGATATGAGGCCAGGTGATTCTAAAGCATTTCAAAGCTTTGCTTTTAATGTTGATTTGCTAGTGGGAATGCTAACTGCACTTGAAGGTCTATATGGGATGGAGATGATGTCTACCAGACATGTGGACCGTCTGCTAAGCAAGTTGCCAAGACAATCCAGAGACAGCTTTGTGGAACATCTCCAGGTACAGGGCTGACTTCAAACAAATAGCCTCAACCCTTATAACTTGAGAGATCTGTCTGAGTGGCTTAAGTCTAAAGCAGAAGCACAGATATTATCATCTAAGATGGCACAGTGCCACCAGGCCGAAAAGGTTCAAGTCTTTAAAAGAGAGAAGATGAATGTGCCATGGGTAAAGGGTCAGTCTGTTTACTATGGTGGTGGCCAAGTTAAAAGGGAGAACAATCCACAAGAGAGTAAACTGACAAATGCTGCAGAAAGAAGGCCAAAATGTTTGTGCTTATTTTGCAAGAGTGTGGAACACTATTTATCTCAATGTCCCATCATTGTTACATGCCCAGCTGAAGTCATAGAAAAATGGATCTCAGATGGTAAAAGGTGTAGAAAGTGTGGTCGCACAAGTCACATCACAAATGAAGGTACTCTGAAGAAAGCTTGCAGCGAGTGTCACGAGATCCATCTCAGAGTTCTTCATATCATTACCAAGCCAGAGTCTGGAGTGTATCTCATTACTCCTACACGGGGAGCTACCATCTCTCCTGTGAGCCAGGGCAGTAAAGTTTATTTGAAAGTTATGCCAGTTGTGATAAGTTGTGGAACCAGAAAATTACATACTCATGCAATCCTAGATGATGGAGCAGAGAGAACTATCATCCTTCCTGAAGCAGCCTCTCATCTGGACCTTAAGGGAGATGCAGAGTCTATGGCACTGCGAACCATTCGTCAGGACACTGCTCATTTCACTGGCTCATCTGTTGATTTCTATGTTTCTCCCGAAAGCCAACCCAGAAGGAAATATTTAATAAAGGGAGCTTTTACAGCACAACAGTTGGCTCTGGCTGAGCAGACATACCCAGTAAATATTCTGCAGAAACGTTATCAGCATCTGCAAGGGATACCAATCCAGTCCTTTAAAAATGTGCATCCACTTCTCCTGATTGGAGCAGATAACATGTGCCTGATAACAGCAAAGGAGCCAGTTTTGATGAATTCAGCTGGAGGACCCAGTGCAATCCGAACTGAGTTGGGCCGGGCTCTACAGCGTCCAGATGATTTTTCACCCAATGAGTCACACACAGAAACGTGTTACTTCACATCACTGAGGCCTGTAACTGATGACCTTTATCAGCATGTGGAGCGTCTTTGGAAAGCTGATATCCTCCCCTATCGTAGTGAGACACTTGCAGTACGATCTCATCAAGATGAAGCCATGTCAATATTGGAATCTCGCACAGTGAGAGTCAATGTGGGAGAAAAGCTACGATACGCTACTCCATTGCCTCGGCTAAAGAACGACCCCCCATTAAAAGCTCCAGTGGATGCAGTGATGCCATCACTCCGAAGTACTGAACGCCGACTGGTAAGAGACCCTGCTAAAGCTCAGATATACGAAGCTGAAATAAAGAAACTTGTTGATGCAGGATGTGTGGTCAAACTCAAACCTGATCAGGTGTATAAGTCTCAGGAATCGTGGTTCATACCACACCACCTAGTTGAACACAATGGCAAACACAGGCTGGTTTTCAACTGCTCCTTCAAATATCGTGGACTCTCCATGAATGATCAGCTCCTGCCAGGCCCTGCACTTGGTCCAACACTCTTTGGAGTTCTCCTACGATTCAGAGAGTATTCAGTTGCAGTAAGTGGGGACATTCGTGCCATGTTCCACCAGGTCTGTCTTCTCCCAGATGACCAGACCCTGTTAAGGTTTATCTGGCGAAATCTGCAGAAAGAGAAAGAACCCGACGTCTATCAATGGAAGGTTCTTCCGTTTGGTACTACAAGCAGTCCCTTTTGTGCCACCTTTGCACTGCAAATGCATGTGAAACACTCAGGGGAGGAAAATCAGGATATTTGGCAGTCTTTGATGCAGGCTTTTTATGTTGACAACTGCCTCCAGAGCCTTCCAACAACAGAATCTGCTGAGGTCTTAGTAGATAAAATGTGTCAAGTTCTGGCTGATGGGGGATTTGAGATTCGACAATGGGCTAGCAGTAAGCCAGAAACCATCGCCCACTTGCCACCTGAAGCCAAGTCGCAAAGCACACAGTTATGGTTGATGGAGAAACCCACTGACTCTCAGGAAATGGCATTAGGCATGATATGGAACTGGGATACAGATACCCTGTGTTACAGGTTGAGACCACTGGAAAGACAGCTACCAACACTGAGGAACATTTATCGAGTGCTGGCAACTCGGTATGATCGCCTGGGCCTGGTCATTCCATTTACAACTAGGGCAAAGATAGTACGAAACCTGTGGGCAAAAAGAGGGATTGGGATGACCCCAACCTGCCTCCTGACCTTCAACAAGCCTGGGTCAGATGGGAGAATGAACTTCCCCAACTAGCTAACATCTCTATCCCAAGAACCTATGCACCACCAGAACGAGCCACTGAAGGTGTGGAATACACTCTGCACATTTTCTGCAATGCCTCAGAGGTAGCCTATGGTTCTGTTGCTTATCTGACCATGCAAGATGAAGAGAAGACACATGTGTCCTTCGTGATGGCAAGATCGAGAGTGTCACCCCGGCACCAGTTATCCATCCCCCGTTTGGAACTCTGTGGGGCATTAACTGGGGCCCAACTGTCAGCCCTCATACATAGTGAGCTCAATCTGCAGATCAATAAAACATTCCTATGGTCAGGCTCAACAACAGTTCTGAACTGGTTGAAAAGTGAATCCTGTCGCTTTAAAGTTTTCGTTGGCACTAGGGTGTCTGAAATTCAGGAACTCACTCCAAACCAAGAATGGTGATATGTTGATTCTGCCAGTAACCCTGAAGATGATGTCAGCCATGGTAAAGCAATAACTGAGCTTTCTTGTTCGAGTCGATGCTTTAGGGGGCCCAAGTTTCTGCAAAAGCCGCCTGATCAGTGGCCAAAGGTTCCAGTTGCACAGTTGGTAGAGAGTTCAGAAGAACTAAAACAGACTACATTTTGTGGACCTCTTCAGCACATCCTAGTAACCAAAGTTGTGGATGCCTCACAGTACGAAACATGGACAGAACTTCTAAATGCTACACATCAGACTCTCCAAGAAGCAGCTGCCTCAGGTCCAACTACATCACCATTTTTAAGTGTCCATGATGCTCGGATCCATGCCTTAAAAACCTGTCAAAGGAACAGCTTCCCAGATGAAGTTAAAGCATTGGAAGGTGGGAAACAAGTATCATCAAATAGTAGACTGAACACACTGTCACCTGAATGGGACAAGGATCTTGGTCTCATTCGCGTTGGTGGATGCCTGAGAAATCTGACCAGCTCTATTCCAATAGACATACATCCACTTGTATTGGATCCATGTCAGAACATCACCAAACTACTTATCCGTGACACTGATGAACGTCTGTTCCATCCTGGCCCAGATCATGTTTTTGCTGAGCTCAGACGTCAATATTGGATATTGTGAGGAAGACAGGCAGTCAAACAACATCAGCACAGATGTGTAGGATGTAAAAGATGGAGAGGACAGTCCATTACTCCCATAATGTCTGATCTCCCACCAGCTAGGCTCAGACTTTTGAGACCACCATTTTACTCCACTGGTGTTGACTGTTTCGGATCCTACACTGTAAAGGTTGGACGTCGACACGAAAAATGTTGTGGAGTAATATTCAAGTGTCTCACAACAAATTGTGTTCATCTGGACCTTCTTAACAGTCTGGATATTGATTCCTTCCTCCTGGTCTTGAGACGATTCATTGCTCGACATGGAACTCCTTCAGAGATCTTGTCTAATCAGGGAACAAATTTTCGGGGAGCTCAAAGAGAACTCAGAGAGGCATTCACAGCCATGGTACCTGAACTGAGAACAAGTTTTGCAACTCAGCAAATTGATTTCAAGTTTAATCTGCCAGCAGCCCCACATTTCGGTGGAGCGTGGGAAAGGGAGATACGCTCCGTAAGAAACAGCCTTACAGGTGGTTATGGGTACTCAAGCTGTGACAGAAGAAGTTCTTAATACCTTATTATGTGAAGTGGAGGGAATGTTGAATGCAAAACCTCTTGGTTATGTCTCCTCTGACAAAGATTTGGATCCTGTCACACCTAACATGCTTCTCTTGGGGCGGCGGGATGCCTCCCTTCCACAAGTAGCATACGCACCTGACACACTCACCAAATGAAGGTGGCGACACAGTCAAATGATGGCAGATCATTTTTGGAAGCAGTTCTTTAGACACTATCTTCCTACTCTCCAAACTCGTCAAAAGTGGACTCGACCTACGCACTGTTTAACTCTGGATACGGTCGTCATGATTTTTGACCCTCAGTTGCCTCGAGCACATTGGCCAGTTGGCAAAGTTATTAAACTTCACCCCAGCATGGATGGATGTGTGAGATCAGTGGACATTGAAGTAAATGGAAAGGTTTACATTCAACCGTTGCCAAACTTGTGCCATTACCGGGAATACCTGAGGATGAGAATGGGTTGAAGACATCCTCCCTGTCAGAAGGGAATTCATAAATATTACATAACAGCTAATGCTGTTATGGGGCGACTGTACTGAATTCCCACTAGAGGGCAGCAGTGGACAGGTAATTAAGTCAGGCAGTGGTTAGGCCTACTAAATGTTAAGAGGGTCCTTAGTTCTTTTCTGCATCATGCAACACCACATGTTCATTTCTTTGGTGAGCAGATGGACTCTGTATGTGTGACTGAAGACGTAAGTGCATTAACCTGTAATGTGATATGATAACATGTAATGTTTCTCAAAGGGTTATTAGTTATTTAGAAATAATGCTTGTTAGGCATCCAGTTTGTTTATCAGAGCAAATTTATATTATTTGTTGATGTGCTAGTTGAGCTAAAGTATGCTAATGCATGATGCTGGTTTGTAGTGAAGCTAAACATTGCATATTTGACCTTTGTAATGGTGAAGCTAAGTTCTGTATATTAATGTATACTGTTTGGTGTTAAATTGCAGACACCATACAATTGTCCATGCAGCTGTTCATGATGCTGATGTAACCTAAGATGGACACAATTTGAACTTCTCAGTAAAGTTTCAGAAGACTAAATCTCTGCTTCCTTATTTAACTCTATGACCGCAGCCCCCCTGATGATGAGGAATTGGCTTTCAGTCTTATAGAATTCAACAGTACAGACACACCTTTTTTGTGAGATCCATCAGTTTGGGTAAGAAGCCCTTCAAATTCTTATCTCTCACAAAGTCAAAGAGAGCCAGCAGGAACTCGTGGTCAGGCTGGAAAGAGGAGGAGGAGGTGAAAAATTCAACATCTTATCCGATGAAGTTACAAATCCTGATCTGTTGGCTAAAAAATACTACTTCAAATACAGTGTGCCACAGCTTTAAAGGAAACCCTGGACTTTCATAGATAAATATTTACTTCAACATTTTATTTACGTTGCTAAGCATTCTGGTAAACGATGTTTAATAGGTGCTCCGTTTCATTTTTTAAATGTACAGCCACAATAAGTTTCAACATTTTCTAGTGTATAACTGAAAATCCTCATATCTCCCTACTGATGTTTGTCGCACAGAGTGTAGTTGTCTTTTTTCACACCGAAGTTGGAAAAACACAATAGTTTTTCTTGTCAACTGCGAAAAAGAAAAGATGTGAACGTTTGCTTTCTCCTAAGTCCATCTTGCTAATTTAATAATCTGTTTCTGCTCTGGGAATGCAGAGGATCATTTTCAGCAACATGTGGAAGCTTACGAGTATGGCAGGCCATTTTTACATTTAATCAGCTTCACCAGACTTATGTACATTCCAGATATCTGTAATTCATTTATGACTGAACATGTTTGTTATTTAGGTGGGAAAATTGCAGACTTTTTCAGGTTCTGTAGTTTATAGTTAAAAGCTGCACATTCTTTTAATAAATATTAGTAATTATAACGATGTCGATCAACGTTCTTTGATCAAAAGGCCAATAAGGTTCTAGACCCAAAGTGAAACACTAAAAACTGTTGCCACTGTGTACCATTTAAATCCTCCTCTTTTATTCCCCCATTATGTTCAAAAGTAGCAAACAAAAATACAAACTGTTTTTGTTTTTACATTTGCACTTGAGCTTTTGAAGAACATCACCATTATATGTTTTACAAAACCTCTCCTAAAGGGTCACATCATGCTCCAGAGTCTGGCACACGGTGCAACATGATGTTAATATTAGACAAACAGACACACTGACCACTTTGCCGTGGGCCACGCTGACGCTGAGGACTGAGAAGACCTCCAGCACCATGCCAGCTCTGAGCAGAGCCCACAGGAGGGACAGAAAAATCTGCACAGAGAAGTACATTCCAGGTGGGCTGCTCTGGTAGTATCCTGTGAAAATATCTCCTGAAAGGTTTAAAAAAAATAAAGAAAAAGAAACAAAAGAGAAGAAAGACAAACATATTTGCTTTTAACCTTTAAGGACATTATTCATGAAAAACACTCAAACTGTACCAGATATATGAAAGAAACGCACCTGCGTAAAACTCTAACTTACCAGCTTTCTTCAGGCACACTGGGATCTTGGTGAATTTGGTCACTTGTTCAATACAGAACTATCAAACACAAACATTACAAACAGTTAATCATGATGTCTGAAATGTGCAGCTACATCAAAAGCACAGCAGAGGGTGATATTCTCCCTGTGATCAACCTGAAACATGGTTTTTAACTCCAGTCTGCTGATTGATCACTCACAATCAGAATCTACTGATAAATTAGGAAATACAAAAATCAAAGTGGAAGAATCAACAACATACCTTCTCGTGCCCCTTCAACGGTAGATGGTGGAAGCGACAGGTCTTGTAGTCACAGAGATGTGATTCACTGAAGTACAGTCTGCAGTACTGCGGGGCAGGAAAATGTAACACTATTAGCAACAATCATGTCAAACTGAACAACGCCATGTGAAAAAACTGACCTTTACCATTATTATCAGCTGGAGACATTTCTAACATGTCAGACTGCACAACTATTTTGTATTTAAAGGGCCTAGAATAACTACATGTGTGACAAAGAGACATTATGGTCCATCCAATAACAGAATGATCAACTCTTAAAGTCAACCCAATTCAAAATGGCTGCCACAGCTAATCAACCCAAGCCACCAGAAAAATGACCATAACTCAGGTCATTGCACAAATCTGGAGCTTAAATTTGTTGTGGCAGTAGATAAGTCCTTTACAACCCGTTCTTTAAACTAACAGGCCACTAACGTCTTTGTTTTTTAAATGATAACAAGTGTCTTCATTTTGTATGTGTGAACAATGAAATCTTTTTTCTGTTTTTACAATATACATCAGGTGGGTCCAGTCCAGTATTCTGGAGGTCCTCCTGGAATTCTGACGTGGCAAAGCACCGACTTTTGTCTGGTATCTTTGCCTTTTGGGCATGCTAACTAGGCCTGTCGCGATAGWCAATAAATCAATTAATTGCACGATAACTTTTTTTGAGGTCGGTAAAAAAAAAGACGGCGATAAGTTTCATTTTCCTGCTTGTTT